CGGTTGCAGAGAGATGTGAATCACCGTGAGAGAAGATCTCTTCGCCTTCCATCGCCACAGAGAGAAGAGAGAAGATCTCTTCGCCTTCCGTCGCTGTGAGAGTGATCGCGAGATGTGAATCGCCTTCCGTCGCCGTGAGAGAGATCGCGAGATCTCTTCGCTACGCCTTCCATCGCCGTGAGAGAGAGAGAGGTTGAAGAGATCACCCTTGCGGCGATGAAGACAACCGCCGGCGAACAGCAACCGCGACAAAGAGAGAATATTCTCCTCGTCGAAATCGCCTCTTTCGCGGCTCTGCGAGAGAAAGAAAACAAGAGCGACGAAATAATTTTTTTTTCCTTTCTGCATACCCTAAACGCGTCGGTCCACTAGGAAAAGACCACGTAGCCTTGTTGAACCGATTTAAAAGGATCAGTTTACTGATCCAGCTCAATACAAAATAGTCCAATTTTATTATTTTTTAATCTAAAAGGTCCAATGAACCCTTTATAATATGACCGATAAACATGGTCTAATAAACATCGACTGTTTTCTTTTTAGATCCTCTCAGTTTCTACCTTAGATAATCTCTTTCAGATCATTTGTACTTTCTTTCAGATCTTCAAGATCCAAAAAGACAGGTATTTTTTGACGTTATGGCTCAGCCATCAATCCTGTACAAAGAAAGTTACTCTGTGCAAAGAAGCTTAGAGAAGCTGCTGGGTTACACGATTCCGTTATATTGCCTTGACCAACCAATTCTCCGGTTAGATTTCTTGAATTTTGGAGTGAGATCTGTTTCTTTCTCCGTAATTGATCGGATCGACTAGCGGATCTAATCGAGTAGTCACATTTGCTCAATGGATCATGATATCGTTTCCGTTTCGTAGTTCATCACGATTTCGCCTGATTTGCTTCGTTAATTTTGCTTCTGTTTCCGTTTCGTAGTTGATCAGATTTCGTTTGATTTGTTTCCGTTTTTTGGTTTCGTAGTTGTTTATGCATTTTTCCGTTTGCAGGGATAGGCGCCTTCTGGTTGCTCGACGAACAGATTATCCCTGAAGGTTTAGGCCCTTGCAGGATTTACAGGAATATCGAAGAAGCTCTTGACAACTTGGGTTATGTAGCTTGTATTTGACTTGCATTTGTAATCTACATCTTTCTGTTGATATGTAGCTTCATGGACTTACCGTGAGACAAGTTTCAAAATGATGGTGGACATGCTCTTCTATGCGTTGAACAATCCTGCACTAAATTTGATGGTTATCCAAAATGCCATGACAAAAGTGTTGGCCAGTGTTCTTAAGGCTTTCAAGTCGAGGAACTACAACGTTCTCATAGCTGGGCCTTCTTTTGAAGTCGTTCAAGGTTTCTGTGTTGAACTAGGAATGCCTATCCTCCAATGTGGAAGCATGCAACGTGTTCGCGATACTTCTGTTGATAGGGGAAGGCCAAATGGTATTTACGCGTTTTTTTAATTGATCTACTTAGCTGCCCGATTGTTTTTCTCTTTTCCTTTTCGTGATTTTTGTGAAACCTTGCAGTGGCTGGCACATGTATCTTATGGGATGTCGAGGACTACCTGATGGTCTCTGTCCTGATTTGATTTTTGAGACTATCGGGTCTGCTCTGGCTAAAAAGGATTATCGTGGTGATGTGTTGATCTTGGCATATGGTGAGAAACAAACGTTCCCAGATGAACTGCCGGATTCCAGAATCAGAAGCAGTTTCGTACCTGATGGTGAATTTCTTTACTTTTAACACTGTTTTCTCTCTTTACATTATATGTCTGTATTCTAGTCTAATCTAGATCTCCGTTTTTATATTCTTACAGGGGAAGAACCTGAGAGATCTTTTACAATGTTATTGGACATGCTTTTTTGGGCGTTGGACAATCCTGTGGAACACATGGAACCGCCATCTTTGATGGTACTCTCGAAAGGCATCTTAGCAGAGAAAGAGTTTGCTAGTTCTGTTGTTGATTTGAAATCAAGAGGCTACGAACTTTACATATTAGAGAGCCTGTTCAGCTGAGATCAGGAAAGCTACTTACTACTGAAAGCCCAATATGGCTTTGGACGAGCCTATTAGATGCAGCGAAGCCCATCGACCAAAGCGGAAGCTCACAAAGTGTTGGCAATAAGCGGAAGAGGGAAGCAGAGTATGAGGACTAACTTCTGTGCGCTGCGGAAGGTCACAACTATCAAAGTAGCTGTTGTAAAAACCCAAGGGAGACTAAAGTTTCTGATGCAGTCTTTTTGGGTTGGACTATTATGTTTCATCAATCCCACACTTTTATGATCATCTTTTGTTTTCTGTTAAATGCTTGGAATTGTGTATGACGCGTCATCTTTGTTCTGTTAAAACTCTGTTTTGGTGGTTAATAATTCGTATCAAAGAGGACACAACTTCTACGTTAATTGCTTAGCATGGATTTGCTTTTGGCCAAGGAAAACTATAAAAGTTTATAACCACAGGACAAGAAAGTTGAATGCAGAGTGTGGACATTGAAAATTGAGTTTTTGTTTCTGTATGTATGTACATAACCTTGTTTTCTTGGTATGACATACACCATTATTTTTATGGGACACTATTACGTGTATGATTGAACCAGAGGTGGTTAAGGTCGGTTTAAAAGGTTTGTATCAGAGAAAATGAGCTGCGTGGGGTTTCCGGCAGTGGAGCCATCGAAGCTCGGTAATGGCGAACTTGGTGAATCACACGACATAGCTAAATCAAAGCTTCCTCTCGTTTGGTAGTTGAAAAGGAGATTCATAGAGTTAGAGGAGGATACCGTTCTTTGGAGCTGCGGAGAGGATAAATTTAAAAAGAATTTCAACTCAAAAGCCACCAGGAATTAGATACGTACCCCCCAACTCCAACACAAAATTGGTACATCGGTGTGTGATTTACCCACGCAACACCAAAGTAGTTGTTTTTTGCTTGGCCTACGGTGCTCAATCCTTTCTCAACAGGGGATAGAACAAAAATCTGGCTGGGACATAGTCATTGTGTCTTATGTGATAATGCAGAGGAATGTCAGAAATCATCTTTTCCTCACAGATTTGGAAGACTCTTAACATTTACATGGAGGCTACTTGGCACACTCTACACAACAGGTTGGGACAACCTCATCACCTTGTTACATAATGATAATCTCAGCCTAATCAGAATTTGTTTATTTTTTCCGCTATGAATTGTGAATGAAATTTAACTTTCTACTTTGCGTTTAGGTACAAGCCTGAAGTTGGGGATATTGTGGTTGGCCGTATCACTGAGGTATACTTTTCGTTTTGGTGATTTAGATTTTGAAATCACACTTAGAGATAAGCAACTTTATGCTGAATCAATCTTACTTTATCCTACTTATCAAGGTTGGTCAAAAACGTTGGAGAGTGGAGCTCAACTCTACGCTTGCTTTCATGACTATTCCTGATGGTGGTCTTAAGGTTACAATTTAATAATCCAATTGCTTGGAATTTTCCATTTGCATCTCTGTTGTGTTCAATGATTAATATAAGTTTTGTCGGTACTGGAAGAAGAGGCGAAGAACGTCTGAAGATGAACTCAATATGCGAAATATCTTTGCAGAAAATGATGTCATTTGTGTAAGTCCTATGATTAATTAATGTCCCATACTCCCCATCTTCATCTTTGAACATATAAGCTAAAGGTTCCTTTTTTGATTTGTCAAACTCTTAGGCCGAAGTGCACGAATTTCAGCGCGATGGCAGCTTGATTATACATGCTAGAAGTCAGAAGTATGGGAAGGTTGGTGATTCTTATCTTGCAGATATATAGTCAAAGTTATACATTTTGCTAGTCTCTTTCTCTAAACAATGATTATCCCTACAGCTTCTGAAGGTTGATCCTTACTTGGTTAAGAGAAGTAACCATCACTTTCATTACGTTGAAAGTCTTGGGATCGATTTGATTCTCGGCTGCAATGGTTTCATTTGGGTCGGGGAACACGTCGAGTTCAGAAATCATATGATTGTGACCAACAACACAGGAATGGAGCAAAGCCCATACTCCACTCGAGACTAGACAAAGCATTATCAGAATCGGGAATGCGATACGGTTCTTGTCTAATCTAGGCTTCAAGATGACTCTAGAGGTGATCATGGAAACTGTTAACTTAAGCAACACGAAGAATATTGACGTATGCGACATGCTTGGATCAGAGTTTCACGTAGTGGTCGCAGAGAATGAAGCTGAAAGAAGACGTGCATTGAGGAAAAAGTGAAAGCTGATTTGCAGAGACTTGCAAATCATGTGGGCTTGTTTTGACTTAACTTCTTTCTTTTATCTGTCATGTGATATATTTATATGGATAAGGGAACTCGGCACCAAACCATACAAGGTTAGCCAATGGCCGAGAAAGAACCAACAAAAACATACATATCTTTACCAAAAAATGAGAACACTTGATTCAACTTCGATAAAGCTCGGATTTAAAAATCTGATTTGTGAAATTGAGTTGGTGTTTTTGGAGATAGCTTTCTTCTCTGTTTTTTTTTTGTTGATAAAATGTGAATTTATACCAAAAAGCGGTTCCTCACAATTTGTTTTACTAACATTTGTTTAGTTCTAAGCCCAAAAAAAAAAGATGTAAAAAAGCTCAGAAGAATTAAAAGAGAAGATACTAAAACATAGCTTCATTAACTATACGTAAAAAGTTTCAAAAAAAAAAAAAACTATACGTAAATCATGCAGAGAGCCTTCTACGACGAGCCAAGAGTATATATGTCTCTGATTACGCTATCTATCAACTTGAAGGTAGCTTTCGGTGTTGAAGAGATCACCAAGCATTGTACTGT